ATTTAAAGCTTAATATATTAAAATATAATCAAATACTATATCCTGATCTGTTTTCCTTGGTTCTCATCACAATGTTCTTTAATGTTCTTTAACAACTGAATTGATATTGAAATAATTTAGATGTTATTGAACTTAATGTATAAAACAGGTGGCCTCTGAAGGTGGTCAGTTGCATTGGATTTTATTTATCAGTTTCTACTGGAAGAGGAATGAATACATATGACTGCCACACTTTTCAAAATGAAATTAGCAAAATTATTAAAATCTATGTACCCTTCTTCCTTCTTTGTGTTTTAAAACATACAATTCCACCATTACAATACTTTGTAATTTGCAATATTTTTGCAGCGTAATATAAATGAATTTAAAATCTAAAAGTATATAAACCAACTAAAGCTAACTAGATCACCTGTTTTTATTAGAGACTAAATGTAAGTTGGAAAAAACACACGAAAGGTGCCTAACTCATTTCAATCTCAAACCTTTTCGCAGATTTTTTCAAGGAAATATTTTAGGTAAAACAAAGTTTTCTGGATTGAGCTGTCCTCATCAAAATATAACATATAGAGTAGGACTGGAGGGATAATAAAATCTCCTGCATGTGCTTTATATCAATAAATACAATCTCACTCCTTAAAGAAGTTATATAAATGAGGGAACACATTTATATTTTCTGCCAAGTGTAATGCCTTTAAGGGGCACAAATTGGCTGCAGTGTTATTTTACATACAGACAACAAAGGGTGCTGTTAGCCAGTGAAATGTAAAGAAAAAAAGAGTGATGGGGCAGAGGAAGACATTAAAAGGAGGAGGAAAGCTTTTTTACCTTTTATCAAAGTGAAAAATGGCATGGTGACAGTTATGAGAACTGAAGAGAACATGTAGAGGGGATGATATGAAAGAAGGAGAAAGAGTCACTTACAGTGTGTCCTTAAGGAATGGAGAGGAAGTTTCAGTATGTTCTCCTCCAAGGGGAGTGATATCCGTTTGCTAAAGCCGGCATTGCCAAAGCTAAACGCACCCCCACACAGAGAAGGTGGGATGAGGGTGTGTGTGAGAGTGGACTGACGAGAAGGTGGTTATGGATCTGGCTTTAATACATCTGTGTGTGTGAAGTGGCAGGAACCAAAAGCTACTGAGAGGGAGAGAGACAATCAGCAAAAAAAAAATAAAAAAGATGCAGAGCTCGAACAAGCTGAGTGGCTGGTGTGAAAAGGGAGGGTGCTCAACAGTCCAATAGTGTGACAGATGAGCTGAGCGAAGAGGAGATAGCAACAAAGAGACAGATTTTTTTCTTTTCAATTTCTGATCACACTCCATAGTCTGACTGCTTTCTCTGTTTTTGGAATAGGTTTGGAGAGGGGGAAAAAAACAAACAACCTAAAGCATTCAACAGAAGCTTGGAAATGATTCATGAGGCATGTCTTAACCTAAAATTTATTTCTCTCACTCACAGATTGGGGGAAAGGCAGGAAGCCCGATAGGCAAAACATTTGAGATAAATCATTTAACCCTGCTGGGGACTTTAATAACATATTGCTGACAAATAGAGCCCAGCTCTGTTTGCTAAGCTGCTTTTAGAATAAATGCTCACAGAAAATAACAGGAAAATAAGATAAAAAGGGAGAGCTTTTTTGTCCTTTTACATTTTTATAAACCTTATGTCAGAGATTATTAGTGATAAAGTAAACAGAAACTGCATGGACAGCTGAGACATGTGCAGTGCCCTGCCTCCCCTGAGTGAGTGTATGAGACGCCTGTGTGCATAAGCAGGGATGGGGGCGGGGGAGCAGACCGTCTTTATCGAGATTTTACTGCGGGAGCGCCATGTTGCCATGGAGACTGCATCCAGTGCAGCAGAAAAGCGCAGATGGTCCCCTTCCCTTTATTTCCTGAAACCGTCCAGGTTGCTTCTCATCCCTGACCTGCAACTCATACAATAAATAAATGGATAAAAAGCTTGTCATTTTGACTTTGTGGAGAGTGGAAGGGAAAAAATGCTCTGGGTGTGGACCAGGCTATGACTCACACCACTGACAAACTGCCTAAGGTAGAAGTGAAAAGGTCTTTTTGTTGAATTTTTGCAGAAATATTAAATCACTGAGCATCATCTTACATAAATACATAAATTATTATGTCATTTTCACTCTACATTTGTTAGAATATACTGTATATAATATTAGAGCGAAATCAGCTGCAGTACTGGCTGAATGTAATCATAGCTCTTTGGAGAGTACCAGGTCTGCATGTGTACTGATACGGACACCATGTTGAGACTGGATAAAATGATCAATATCTCCGTTCTAACTTGTAGACGCTCATTACAATTCATATTAAACCTTAATGTAGATCAATACAGACAAATAGTAAAAGCAACGAAAGTGTAATAAACAGAAATGGAGAATAAATATGGACAAACTCTTTACAAAATGGCGTATTTCTTTTGTGCGCTAAAAATAGTTTGTCCTGTTCTGACATCCCTCAATTGTACTTAAATTTATCCTAAACCTTTCAATTACTAAACAATTTAATTGTCCCATAGATGCATGTTAAGCCTGTCTTCATATGTATTTAAACCGTAAAAATTTAGCGTGTGAATCGTATAAAGATGTCAACAGTTTATAGATCAAGCTTTCTCATGTTTTTACAAACCCATTTGAATTTTATGTAACAGGCCACCCTTAATCGATTAAAGATTATATTCAGTTTTACCCTTAAAAAAAAAAGAAAGTCCAAAAATCCCTTTTGGCTATATTCAGCTTCAAAAGAGTTCTATTATATTTTATGTCTTATAACTGAGGCTTCTTTGTATTTTTAAAGGCTAAACCAATGTAAAGTATGTGATAAAGTTAAGACACAATATCTCATAAGTTAGAGTAAAATGTTTAGAACTTTATTTTAATGAAATATGTTTATTATTAAATGATCTATACATGTATTTTGACTTTTTTTTAAACAACAAAAAAGCATATGCTCATGTTAAAATAAAGCAAAAACCTTTAATCTGATAGTGTTTACCTAATCCTTTCGGAGCCTGAAAAGAAGTTTTGCACCGGGCGCCATAAGCAGGCATTCATACTGTTGCATTCTGATGCCATCTACTGGTAGTGCTGTACTAATTCACGCAGTGATCAACTTGTTAGCTTTAGCAGCTTTAGCTCTCAGCTTTCAGGAAGAAAAACTCCTTGTTCTCATCATAGGTATAACATGCATACAAAATACCAACACCTAATCCTACAAAATGCACCTTCTCAAACAGTTAGATTAACAAAACAACACGACTGACAGGGAGTCTGTAAAGATATTCTGTAAAGCCAATTCATATTACTGAGAGGCATATAATGGTGACAAGATATATCGATGACTGTGTCGCATTTCTACTTCTATTCTAGTGTCTCTCAAATTGAAACAAAATCCCGTATTTGACTGGGACAAATTCTAAAAAGGTCATAAGAAATATTGAACAGGCCTTATTTCTAAATATATAAAAAACAGAGCTGTTGTCAATGTCACAGAGCCACCTCCTTCTCTCTCTACCTTCAGGCCAGGCAGCAATGCATGAAACACAATAACATCATATACCCATGTTATCATCTAAAAATATTGTACGAAAAAAATTGTATTTCATGCACATGTCATATATATTTTGCTGCAGCAAATTATTTTATGCACACAAAGAAGTACTTCTTGGCAACAAATTTGTAATTTGTCAGTAAAAATGTGTATTTCCAGGGAACAAATCAGTATTTTTTTGCTCACATTATATATCTCTTTGCTTCTCAGCTTCTTACTCTTCCCCTGCTTTCCCGCCACCTGTCACAGATGTGGAGGAAAGTGACACCACCATGCGGTAAGTCAAGCGCCATTCTGCCCGCTTTACAAGCAAAATCAGTGGGAGCTACTAAACACCCCTGCAATCAACAACAATTGAGAGGACTTCACAATTGAAATTCGCAAGAGCTATACTGAGAATACCCATGTGCATGGAAGTTGGATGTTGTAATACATCGTGTAAATATAAAAAACAAAACAAAATTGTTATTTCATCTTTCCGATTCATGATCCACCACAATTGGATTTGTAGTTGGATTGCCAACTTAGAGAGGAAGGATTTGCCATCGAATTTCTGGCCAGAGAAAAAAAGGTAATATGTAGCCAACATTTCAAAGAAGAATGTTTTCAAGAATACTTGGATAATAGCGCATGGTGACAAACACCAGATACAGAACTGGGACTTACTCAACAGCCGATACCGCACCGTGACGTCACTAACCAGTAGGTGGCAGTAATGTTCTTTGACAAACATTGATGTCTCCAGTAAAGCACATTCAAATGAAATTACTCTTAATCAAAACACTCATCATTTATTGAACAATATGCAACACTTCCATATTGAAAGTACTTTCAGAAGTTTGAATTTTAAATAAAGAACAGTTTAAAGAGAGGACATATTATTTACATTTCACCATAATCTATATACACACAGCAAAATGTGTAACAATGTGTTTTGGTCAGATGAGATCAACAAATATATATAATTGTGGGATACAAACAAAACATAGACAAACATTATTTTTGATTTGCATTTCTTGAAATTGTACCAGCTGTGTAGCAGTATCATAGCCTATAAAAATAAACACCAACAACAGCACTGACTGATTTTCTAAATGAAAACTGTTCAAAAAATATCTGCAAAATATAATGCAGTTAAAGGTTTTCAACTTAGACTAAATGCTGGTACAAGTCACAGAAGAGAATCTAGTGTATGATGAACAATGAACATCCTACCTCCCTGATTATATTGGAGTTTGTCACATTTAAATTAGAATGTTTTTTACAAGCTGCAGCTGTGACGTCACGTCACTGCTCTTAGCAAATCATTTTTAAAAGTGATGTCAACATTAAGAATAAATCTGAAAATATATATATTAGTATCTGAAGGCCGGAGAAATAAAACTAGTTGTTTCCACCAATCAACAGGTCATAATAAAAACTCCTTACCGGTCCATTTTGCTCTAGTCGATGAAAGCTGTCAGATTATAAATGCATTCTTGTTCTTTCTCTAAAAGGGAGAGAAACATAAAGAATCATTAGAAATACTTTACTTGTTTTGAAATTATACAAGTAAAAAAATTTATAAAATAATCTGACGTTAGATTTTGTAGAATCAACAGAAAACCAAGATATACTTCCCAAAAAGTAAAAAAACAAGATTCACTTAAATGAAAGGGCGCCATCTTGTGTCTGAATCTTGGAAGTAACCATGGACAATCCTTTAATATTTAAAGTAGTCTGAAGGTATATCTGTCTTTATTTATAACATTTGTAATCTTGTGAAATAAAATATCGTGGTCAGAAACAAAAAGGAAAGAACACCATATACAAAAGCTGAAAGCATAGCGGCACAGCTATTGTCTTTATATCTATTTTGGCGCTCTGTGTGACGTATGACCTCGTGGCGCAACGGTAGCGCGTCTGACTCCAGATCAGAAGGTTGCGTGTTCAAATCACGTCGGGGTCATTCTATTATTTCACCTTCTTTTAAACATTTAGATTTTTTAATTCAAGAATTGGCCTTATCACACTTTAATGACCCGTCACAAAACCTAAGAATGTAAATTAACCCCAATAAAATACTTTTTATTCAAGAAACGTTATATTATAGCTCTGACAATCACTGGGAACTAATCATTGGAAACTCTATTAAATGCCATGGAGTAAAAGGTCCTGGCTAAACTTTACTTTTTACAGAATGCTGTTTCGAAGTGTTTATATGAAGTATAAACAATGCAAAAAGACTGGAAATTTATAACAAGAACTGAATTTGTAGCCACTATGTCAAGAGATAAAACACATATTTTCTCCCAAGGGTTAAAGGTCAAAGTGTCTGACAAGCCACTCATGAAGCACAGGAAAGGTCATAAGTGTCTGAGCTGAGGGGAATAACGACTGGATTGTCCCTTTTTTTTTTTTTTTTTATCATTAAGGTGATCTATCCTTATTAAAATCTGAAGTCTTTGCAGCCCTCTACCAGGACATTTATGAGCATTTGATCCTCTCCTTTGCCATACTGACAAAGTTTTGAGTCTATGTATAGAATCTGATAAAATCAGTGACCAAGAACTTACATAAATCAAATTTGTAATTAGATTTAATTTAATTCTATTATCCTATGCCTCTTTTTAATTTAAAATATCATATTCATTGACACACTGATCGCTTTCATCTATCTCTCTAAGATAAATTTAACATTTATTTGTGTCTTAATGAGGTCTAAACAAATTATTGAGCATAGCAACTAGATTTCCTGTGCACTTTCTTCCGTTTAAAAATCAAACAGCAACCCATGTAAACAGTTACATACCCCAGGTGTTAATGGTGGATACGGTTACACAACAGCAACCACAGACACTACGTAGTGGTTTTGGGATTCTAACAAGACGACGTCATTCAGTTCTTAGAGCACTTCTCCAAACAAACATATTTCTCCAAGTTGGTTAGTGACTATATATGAACAACAAGCTGTCATGTTACCTTTTCATCATGAAGCAAATCCTTGTGATAATAAGAAGCAGGAGAGTCACATTTTCAGCCTTTATCACTCTTTTATTCCCTGTCCTCTTCAACCATGGTTTTTCTTGAACATCTCTGTTTGTCTCTCTTTCATCCAACAAGCCGCTCTCGGCTTAACAGCCTCAGTCCAACATGACTGCCTTTCTTACTGGGTCCAAGGCTCTCTCTCTCTCTCTCTCTCTCTCCCCACCTCCTTTTTCCTTTCCATTCATGTCAGAGTCTCATCTCTCACCAAGAACACTAGACTCTGAATGCACAATTTATCAGCAGAGCCCTGCTAAGAGTGGAACTTGGCTGAGACATAAGGTCGGCCCCTGTCCTAAGGAGCAGACTCACATGAGAAAGTCCTTGGCTGCACTTGTTTTGCACCACAATGGCCTGATTGTATTTGAGGATCTCCTTTTACATTAAACAGGCAAGTTATGCTTCTTTTATCTCTGCTTGCATATAAGGGCAGGCTTTGAGCTTTCCAAAAATGCTTGTGTTGTTTGTAAAAGAGCATTGCATGCTTTTACAGATGAACCTTTATCATCAGCAAGTTTTCCCTTTTCATTCAAATCTATCTAAAATGCCAAGAAACTGTAAATATTCCTCTTTAAAACCATCAAAAGGGGAGGAATGAATGTTTGCCGACTGTCAAGAAAAGCATCCGTAAACTACAAGAGATTGAATTAGAGTGCTGTAAACAAATGTTTTACCTCTGTAAGATAATCGAATGCCTTCATATTATTTATTGTTTATAAAGATCTGAATCTCAGATACTAGATTGGATTGTGTCCTATATATACAACCTTAAAAAATGTATTCATGAAGGCTGCATGGCTAATTTTATTTTACTCATTTTATTACAAAGCTTCGGCACAAAAACATAAGGTTGGTTAAATTGGGAGTAGGATAGCAGTAAATCAGAGAGGCCCAGCAGGGAGACACTATGAGAGGCTAGTGCTGGGCAGAGATAGCCTCTAGGCTAACTGTTGGAGATGTAATTCTGTTTTATGTTTTTGTAATATGCCTATATATTACACTAGAAACAGTCAGTTGTGTTTAAAAACCACTTTCAAAGACTAACCTCGTCAAGGAAAAAGTAAAGTTTACCATGCTCAACCTGATTATCAGTCTGTCAACCTTCTGAAGTTTGCAAACGTCATCATTGTCATCTGACTTATAGAGATAAGTCAATGACGAGTCTGCCTACAGGTGGAAGATTGACCATCTGGCGACCTGGTGCAGGGAGAACAACCTGAAGCTCAACGCTCTAAAAACAGTGGAGATGGTTGTGGACCTCAGGAAGAAGCTATCCCCATCACCCTCTGTGACTCCACAGTTGACGCTGTGGAGTCTTTCCACCTCCTGGGAACTCTCATCTCACAGGATCTAAATCCGTGTTGGATTCAATTCCAGGATGTGTGGGTAATGGGTGAGGTCTAGTGGTAGCAAATAAGGGCTAGTGGTTTAATGTATTCGGATTGGGCATTTGAGCATGTTTAATAATCAAGGGTAAAAACAAATCTTGTGTTATTAAATGAAATATTTTGCACTGGAAAATGTCAATAAGATCAGGCTAAACCAACACTCCATTTGGGTTTTAAAGTAGAAGTGAAAACCCTCTAGCTATAGTTAATCACATGGGAGGATCTATAATATGTCACCCATCAAAGTCTGTAAAACCTAATTTAAATAAATAATCCAACTCATTCTAAATAAAACCTGTTGGCTTTTAATAGAAAGATAAAAATTAGTCCTAAACAGCAGATTGCAATGACATAAGCCAGGATATTAATGTGTCCAGGCAGGATTTCTTTGAACATCAATGGTGCAAACCCCCCCTCACACAAGACCATCATAAGAACCTCCCACAGGGACATGCTATCCTGCCACCCACTATGCTTGGGGACAAAAAGCTGCTTCATGCTCGTCCCATCCTCTTTTGTGGCTGCTCTCCAACCAGCCACTTCTGAGAGACCCCATGAATGGATGGTTAGACAGGCGACCGGTATCTGAACCTTCCAACCGCCAAAGTTGGGTGGTTCTGTTAGGAATCTCGAAACTAGACTCTGCAAAATAAGACTTTCTACAATGCTTCTCTGAGTTTAGAGGAAACTTTGAGATTCCAGAGACTGGAGGTTTTCTTTAGGGAGGAACCAACATTAACTTCACTACTGCAGGCCTGACCTGCTAAATTTTCTTGGGAACACCTTATTTTTCCAAATTGATAAACGGATGTTACAAGTCTGGCAAAGTTAGGAAAATAAATAAACCCCAGTAAATAGAATGGTTAGTGCTTCACTAGGGAAGGTTTTTGCAGGTAAAATTAGGTTTTATAAAAATCAAAAAATGGGGTATGCGTTACTTTTCACATATTAAAAATTATCTTTAGGTCATCCAGAGGTTAAACATCCCCCATTGAGCAATGAATTAAACACAAACAATATACTTTTTCAGTGCTACTTGGATGGTAATTCACAGGTAAAAGGGCTCCAACCCCTGATTATTTCACTTGGAAAACATTAAGCTTATAACCAATAAAAAAATTTTTTTGATGTCTGATTACAAAATAACTTATCTACCCCTTGGAGTTGAACTGGTTTGAACAATTCCTAATTGCTTTTAATTAAAAGCTAATTTGATCAGAATCCAAGCTATAAGATAAACTTTTGGTTTCAAAAATAAAATCCAGACCAAACTGATATTGCATGTTATCATGGTTTTCAACCATTTTCACTACAGCACATAAGGGTTTAGTTTTACTAGTTTAGTCAAGAGTTTTAAAGAGAATATAGAGTCAAATTCCTTTAGAAAGGAATTAAATTATTTGATATGGCATTTCTGTACAAGCATTGAACATAAAATTAAAACATTTCAAACTTCAACTTTGTGAGATTATATATATATATACACATACCGGTATATATATATATATATATATATCTATATCTATATCTATATATATATATATATATATATATATACATATATAGAGATATAGATATATCTATCTCTATCTAGAGATAGATATATAGCATTTTGCCTAAAATGCAAAAAAATAAATGTAAGGCAAAGTTAAAAAAAAGAAATTGTAAGCCGTTTTAACATTTTTTACCAAGTTTAAAATGTAGGGGTGGAGTGCATTGCAATTCAGGGGCTATTTCAACCTGAACAATTGGTATTTATTTACTGCAAATAAATAGTGAACAGGTTATGATATACGGTATATACCTTTTTATTACAGTAACAAAACAAAAAAAAAAAAAACAGACAGCTGTAAAGATTTTAGAATTTGGTTTGACAACAAAAAAAAGGAACCCATTAGAGTTCAAAGCAAGTTCCCAATTGCCTTGTGTACACTAAAGGGTAAAACAGGACGAATAAATATACAAATGTTAAAAATATATTAAATCTAAAAACAACAACAAAAAAACAATGAAGCCTAAATTTTGTCTTTAAAACTTTAAATTAAGTAGTGGATACTTTGAAGTTTTGTTCCTCCAAGTCGCTGAGCTTACTTCTGCCTCCAATAATTTTCAGCAAGGACTTTAATCCAGATGTGCCCTCAGAATAGTTCCCCACAGTTGTGCCACTTCTGTCTTCATTCATTTTTCCCGTTTTTGAACCGGAGGAGTAGGATCTTTGAGTTATGCTCCTCTGGAACAAGTATCTCAGACGGAAGCCCATTCCAGGAGAGCGCAGGGTTTCATCCACGGAGGCCGACCTGAGCAGCGGCGCCTGAGAGAGAGCTCTCTGACGGAGGCACTCAGGAAGGGAGGCAGATCCTCCAGAAGGGGCCGTCAGACTTTCCTGACTGCTGCCATTTGTCAGTAAGTTGTGTTCGTCGCTCTCCCAGACTTGATCATCAGGATCATTTCCGCTGAGCGTCGATGATACTCTCCGTAATCTGTTTCTCAGCGGGCTGTTTCGTGGAGAGCAGCTTAAGGGACTCAAAATAGTCCAAGGAGATCCCATATTTCCATCACCAGCAAAAAAGTAGTCTCTAGTTCTAGGCTGAGGGGTATGTGGAGTGCCAGCATCATTTTGTTCTCCATTCGCATGCCCTGGAGTCCCCGATACATTCTCATCATGAAAGCTGCCTTTGGCGTTTTGATAGAGAAGCACCTTCCGAGTTATCTCACGCATCTTCTCGGCTTCTTCCTCTAACTTTTCCAGTTTTAGGTCTTCTTTAAGCAGTTTTGCTTGTTTCTTCTCTGGTCTGACCTTAGATTTATAAGGTGTTGGTAAATCGCTTTGCATAGTTTGAGTACAGGATTCAGAATGCAACAGCTCAGCCAGGGATGGATTGCTCTTGCGACATCTAGTTAGATCAGATTTGGGCTTAGATAAAAGGTTGTGCAGCGCAGACTCCAAGCATGACGAACCATCAGCTGGTTCGGGTGTTGAACTACATGCTACCGAGGATCGTTTGGTAGCTAATCGTATGCTCTCTGTGCGTTTGTGTCTCTGTTCAGCAGCTTCTCGCTCCCTGTTCTCCTGGAGGCCATGAAAAAAGAAAATATTTCAACAAAACAATGCAGGGAGAAACAAAAAACAGTGTTTAAAGTTCAAGGTAGGATATGAAATGAAATATGTAAAATATTTATATGTAAAATATTTGATCCTTTTACCTGTACAGCTTTGTCAAACCTTTGACAGAACGAGTAAAAGATGGAACAGCACTCCTCAAGTTTGAAGGTTGTTGGTTCTTCACAGAAGTACTCTGCAACAGCGTCGCACAAAGCCTGTAGGTCCTTTAGGGACACCCCCACGTCTGCAAGCTTGGAGTCTGCTCTCTGTCACAAGAAAGTTCTTAAAATCACCCAAACACATCTTGTCTAGATGGTATTTTTAAATTTGAGAGCGAGAATACATCTTACCTTCAGAAATTGATCTATTTGCTGTAAAAGGCTAGGCTGGTTGCTGCTAAACTGTTTCACTTCTTCAATCTTCTGGATCTCCTGCTCCAAATCCTTAATTATGTCATCTTTACAAATCCTATTGGTGATAGTAAGATAAAAAAAATTGTTCACAATTACATTATCAGGGAAAAAAAAGATAAAGTGTGGAAAAACTTGGCTGAACCACATCCAAAGAGTAACCTTGAAGCCATCCCAATATGTTCAAGTTGTCTGGGAAAGGTCAGCATCTCTGCATCAATATCCTCAGCTTGCTGTAGATGACAAAAGAAATGATTGAAATCTTACAAAAAATGTGTCAGGAAAACATTTTCATGCAAGAAAGAAATAAAAACTTAATGTATATTTAATCTTCAGAGAATTACGAAAACAGCGTGTAAGAGAAAACAATTCTAGTCTGACAGGAAATCTTTGAAACAAATTTCTTCGACTGGCTCAGTCATTTTTAGTCCAAGGGAATCCGTTTTGTTAGCAGCAGTCCAAACCACACCATTCACAGCAAGATTAATACAGTAACTGTACTCATACTAGAGCTGTTAAGGTGTTTGTAACAGTGGTGTTTCAGAGGAAGCTGAATGATGAATTGGGAACATATCAGTGGACCCCAATCAAAGCAAAACCAGTCAAGGTCTATCCAATTCTTCTACAGTGTGCCGAGCCCATCCATTCAGACAATGTCCAAATTAAGGGTGATATTCAAACGAAATAGCAACATTCTGTCAAGGGAGCCTGGCTCTGCAATTGGCTGGTTCTCCCGTGTTATCAGTATGGCCTGGTACAGACTACAATTTTGGCTTAGTTAATACATTTCCTAATATTTGTCTCCTGATGTACAATGGAGCATACCATGCAGAAATCATACACTCTTACCAGCATATCTCAGCTGATTATGCTTGCGAAATCCTGTATTATTTTGGCTTAACCAAAGTCTGAATTTTACCAGGACCCCCCCATTTTTTTGCAATGCAAGCCAGAATTTATTTGTTCTTGCTTGTGTAGTGTTCATGTTTTTTTGTTTTGTTTTTTTTTTTAATCAACTGGCAAGTCTGCACATAAATATAAGGGCAGCATCTATGCAATTTTTTTTGTGCCTCAAAATCATTTAAGAATATATTATGCTTTGTGAAGCTCTTCTTCTTGCCAAAAAAACATAAGATAATAAGGGGAATTTAACATTGAAATATATTAGCATAATTAACAAGAGGTATTGCTCAATTCCAGGGTAATAATGATGCCATTATTAATAGATACAGGGTTTCATAAATATGGCTGCATGACCATCGTTTTCTAACAACTATTTGTATACAGTGCTCCTAGTGAAGAGGTTAGTCACAGAAATATTCTCTAGCCAAAGAGCTACACCTCACCTTGGCAACATAGTGCAATAGGTTCATGCCAGGCTTGTTGGCTTTGGTGTCTGCCAGTTTCAGCAGAGAAGTCATCCTGAATCCAATGACGTTTGAACTGTGACCACCCTGAAAGGAAAAACCCTTTCAGTTGAGGTTGTTTATCATTTTCACAACGGCTCGATTATAACAGACGTTAGTTAACAAAATATCATAGAAGAAAAACAACTTAGTTTTAGTTAAAAATACCAACAGTGTTCATGTAATTCCCAGCTTTCAATACCAGTCGAATCACTGAATGCAGATCATCACAGTCTAACAGTTCTATGGGAGAGGAAAAAAAAAAGAAAAAGATAAGGGACATCCAATTTAAAAGCCAGAAGAAAACTGATAATGCAAATGGAAGCAGCTGAAATATTACCACTAGCTGCTTTGGTCATGACAGCAATGGCGTTCTTCACTTCCTCCATGAGGGGAAAGAACTCCTCCCTCAGAACCATCACCTTCAGACGTTCTTTATAGCTACAGGTAATACAAGCAAGCAGATCATTGCTCATTATTCCAACTTTTCTCACAACCTCATCACATGCTGTTAAACTGGAGATCAGTCTATGAAAAGCAGCAGTTTAAAGAGGTATATCAAAATAAGTTAACTTTACTGAGGCTTTATTTAGGTAAACATCAACCACAGCTTCTTTTATACCATTGCTTTTGTATGTAGCAGAAAACATAACAGAAGCGATGTAAAATAATTTTAAAGCCAATTTATATATCATTATACAGAACTTAAATTAGTTCAAGGGTTCTGTTTCAAAAAGCAGGTTTACTAGTTTTCTAAACCTGAAATCTGACTAAACGGTCGCAAAGCAAGAAAATAATTTCCAGCAAGGGATTGTTAAAGTAATTCTGACTCTGATTATTAGGAAGATCACATCCAAAATGGCTGCAAACAGCCATGTAGTATTTACTGCATAAAGGAAGAGTGATTCATACTGAAGAGGAACTCTACGAGTTGATTCAAATGAATTTCAGATCTCAATGTTGCTATTGTTACTGGTCAGCATTTGTTTTACTTTAGCTATGAAGAAATATATTTCATATAATATAAAGACAGCCTGCTATAGGCTACCAGGCTACATATAAACTTACACATTAACCTCGAGCAGCGATTTTCTCTTACATCACCTTCTCCTTTGCAGCTCCATCTCTGTCTTTTAAACACATTCTCCATTTTTTTTTTTCAATTTCTTTATTAAAATCTCTAGTTCCAGTGGTGTGAAATAGGCACTTCCTGTAGCCCGTCGTCATGGCGGCTCATCAGATTGGGGTTCTACTGAATGCATTTCAAACTTGTTACGCACATGTTCAACTCTGAGTGGGCTTTCTTAAGAGTTTGTTAAACTAACCCACAGAAGCTTTTATTAACACTCAAAGTTTCCAACCTTTGGCTAGATCAATTCAGAATTAAAGATTTGAGTCAGAGTTTGTTAAACCTGCTTTGTGAAACGGGCCCCCGATTGGTGCAGAAATATTTACGCCCACTTACACACAGTAGGTCTGATCCAAATCATATACTCACACAGTCTAAGTCCGTTAGTCACAACAAGACATTTAGATTAATCATCTCTTTCCTGGTATTTTAATACGTGGATGTTATGCAGCCAATTTTGGTTAAAATATTTGAAAACTTTAAGCTCACCCAGATACTTTAATGAGCTGCAGCATAAACTGGTCTGCCTCTGGTAACACTGAGAGTTTCCCTTTGTATGACAGTAGCCGTTTTACCTACAGGCAGACAAAAACCATCATTAAATGGAGTTCAGAAATCACTTGTGGAACAGCAGAGTTCTGAAAACCTGAATACTCCACTACTGCATTCATACTGCTTGATAAAAACAAATTTTTACAGGTTTATGCAAAAGACCCAATTACAGCTGATATTGTGCCTTTTTCTGCACAAACTGCTAAGAGGATTAAAATTGCTTTTAATAAATATAGAAACTCCACTCTCACTACATCTGCATTAGCAACAGTTTTAGAGTAACCCGACTATTCTAAAGAACCATAGCTCTACCCAATTGTCCTCATCTTCAAAATGTATACATTTTTTTTTGCATTAATACAAAAACGTTTTTCTTACCTCACTTTCTTCAGGTAGCAGCTTACACAGCTCTTTTAGTTTGCCATTTCCAAACTTAAGCCAGTTACCCTGACGAATGTCTTCCACAATTTCACTCACAGGCCTACAAGAGACATAAAAGGGAAGTCGTAATACAAATGTACTCATTTTGGGTGCAGTGATAATCAACAGACGATTGTCTCTTTTGAGGAAGTTCTTGCTCTAAGGCACTGGTTATAAACCCACACTGTGCAAAATGGTTAAGACCAACTGCTGATTAAGAGTGTTGAATTTAAGCATGTCATATTTAAACAACCAAAGTTAAATATCTTTAACCGTGTTACACAGATTTTTAAAGGAAGTTGATCTAAAGTAAAGTCTAAAAATCTATAAGAGATGCATTTCAACTATGGCAGGGATGATCAAAGTGATGATGGTACATAAATAAGATGGAATAAAAGGGTTTGTTCGAAACCAGATTAGTTTATCTACAAAGGTGTGGAATAAAAAACTGAAACTGTTTAGTTAGACATAAAGCTGATACCATCACAAACCTTTATGAGAGTCACTTTGGTATTCAAATTGAACCTGAACAAACACTTGATACAAACTCCTGCTTAAAATGTGTATAAAAACAGTGACTGCCTTAGGGACTTTATCTAAATGGAATGTCTGCAAGACAATCTGCGATTGTGTAAAGCTGGAGTCATTGTCGTGTACACAACCTTGGCCAATAAAGATCATTAAGAAAGTCTGTCCCAGTGTTTGAGAAAAACTAATCCATTTGTTCCCTGGTTTCTGGACCATTACAGATATTTAGAAAGGCATAACATCTGTAAAAAGCATTCCAGTCTTCTAAAATGCTGCAGCAAGAGGTTTTTTTTTTTTTTTTTTTTATTGCAATAGTGGCTCGTTTTTTTTAGAGAGCAAGAGACATGCAGCAAATTACCACAGGTCGGATTAAACGCTGGGTCGGCCGCGTCGAGGACTAAGGCCTCCTTACATGGGTCGTGCGCACTAACCTCCAGCTCAAAAGGTTTGATCTTTTTCCAATTTGAAAAGTATACAAATATCAAGAAATCATCTAATTGAGTTTCTGATAAATAACATTTCCCTACAACCTCTCCACAGACGCATGGCCCAACACAGAAGAGCGGCTGCCTCTGGACAAGACTCTGCAGTACACCTACACCTTGTGGACAAAGGACATTCTTTTGAGGACCAGAATGTCCATATTCTGGATAAAGAAAATAGGTGGT